GCGGGGCGGCCGAGATACCGCGATATTTGGGGGGCTGCCCCGAGACGCGCCTGGCGCGGGTGAGCAGTGGGAGAGGGCAGGGAGGCTGAGTGCTCTCGGCGAGCCGGGTGGGGAGTCTGGGGGCACAGTGCTTGCGACCGTGGGTCCGCGGCTGAGAGTGTGTGTAGGGGGCTGCGCAGCCTGTGGGCTCTTCCTGTCTGTACTGAAGGGGCCGCATGTAGCGGTGGGGACCCCCGAGCCAGGAGTGGGGATTTGCATCCGTGCCCGCCCATCCTGACTTTGTGCTGCTCTGCGATTATTTGACCAGTGCCCTTTAGCCTAGATTAAAAGGTGACCCTATCTACCCACACTTACTGCTTACCTTTTTATTTTTATTTTTAATCGAGGCTGAGTCTAAAAAGAATTAGGGGCTGCCCAAAGTACAAACTGTATTTTAAAAGTTGGTAATATAGAAAAAGGAAAGCCCTGGGATGTTGGAATTATCCCTAGACCCATCTAAAAATACTGAATGGCATTTAAAAAGTTAGAGTGAGGCTAGTTTGTGTCAGAAAAGAACTTCTCTCCTTTGAAGTATTTGAAAGTCAGTGCTAGATAATGGGCAGGAGAGATTCCCAAGTATATGTATATATTTCCCCAACATGTGGTCTTAAGGAGGGGTGCCTAAATGGGATCCCAGGAGCAGCAGAGTCAAGCATGCCTGCCTTTGGTTTGAGAGAAGAAAGTCTGTTAGAATGTCAAGGCCTTGAGTTCTCCCTGAAGAGTTCCTTGCCTTTCCTAGGGTTGGAGGAAGGGGTTTAAGGGCCCCTTGTGCCATGGGATTCATTTCAATTTGCCTTTGGGTTTTGGTGCAGGGTGACACTTTGGGGAGCTACAAGTTGTTCATTATTGCTGGGGTGGCGTAGAGTGTGTTGACTGGTGGGAGATGGGGGCAGTAGTAGAATCCTGGGCCAGTAGGGAGGGGCTTCGGTTTTGGGCCAAAGGAGTCAGTCTCTTAATGGATCCTGGATCCCTGCCTACCCACCACCACTTCCCTTTAGTTCTGCTTTGTCCTAGGCACTCATTCTTCCCGTGTTGGGCAGAGCTTATCCCCTGTCTGGCCTTGCTTACCTTGTTCCCTGTTTTACCCCTGGCTGCACTCTTACCTCTATTGTGACTGGCAGGTATCTCTGAAACCTTTACTTAAACTCTGCCTTTAAGTAAGCCGATCAGAGAAGACTTAGACATCACAAGCTAGTGCTCTTTGCTCTGTTTGGCCCTGTGTTTCTAAAGGACAAACTTATTTTTCTGACTGTGTCTTACCTGTATGGCTGGCACCCTGGAATCTTGAGGCTCAGTAATCATGGCCTTCAGCCGTATAACCTGTCTGCCTGCCTGCCAACTCTTTCTGCCACTCAAGAGTCCCAGTGAGTTCTCCAGAAACCAGGGAAATGAGGTATTATCCGCAGCTACCATTGGTGTGCAAATAGATGGCTCTAACAGGATCTGGATAGAGTAACAGACTTACTGCTTGGAATATGATCCTTTTTGAGAGCAAACACAAAGGACTCCTGCCAGCTGTCACCCTCCCTAGGATTCTCAGGTTGAACTGATTTGACCTTGCCTCCAAATGTTGGTTAAATGATCCAGTTTTATTCCTCATGTATATTACGCACACATATATGCACACACCCGCTTTTCTAGGAAGGTAGGTAGGCTTTGACCCTTAGTAAAGCTTGCTCAGCGGGCTAAGTAGTATACTTGGGCTGTACTACCTGCTGTGGGGAAGCAGTTGAAGTCACCTATGTGGATTCCCACCTCAAATTTAACAGATTGCTTCCTTAACCTGTCTGCCTGCCTGCCAACTCTTTCTGCCACTCAAGAGTCCCAGTGAGTTCTCCAGAGACCAGGGAAATGAGGTATTATCCGCAGCTACCATTGGTGTGCAAATAGATGGCTCTAACAGGATCTGGATAGAGTAACAGACTTACTACTTGGAATATGATCCTTTTTGAGAGCAAACACAAAGGACTCCTGCCAGCTGTCACCCTCCCTAGGATTCTCAGGTTGAACTGATTTGACCTTGTCTCCAAATGTTGGTTAAATGATAGTTTTATTCCTCATGTATATTACACACACACCTAAGCACACACCCGCTTTTCTAGGAAGGTAGGTAGGCTTTAGCCCTTAGTAAAGCTTGCTCAGCGGGCTAAGTAGTATACTTGGGCTGTACTACCTGCTGTGGGGAAGCAGTTGAAGTCACCTACGTGGATTCCCACCTCAAATTTAACAGATTGCTTCCTGTAACCAGTTCCCCAGGAATGATATCTGCTTGATGTGGAGGAGGTTCATGGGCTGCAGAGATGGAATTCAGCTTCTGGTTTTGCAGGAATTTCCCTGTCCTAGCACCAGTTGGCTGTGGTGGGACAGGGTCAGGGTTTGAGATCCGGCAGGAAGGTTTTCCTGGAGAACCAAGAATGTGCCTCCATCACCTACTGATCATATGTTCTGGGCAGAAGCTGGCTGGTAGGCCCTCTGGACCTTGCCAGTTGCTAACTGGACTTTCCGTTCCTTGAGCTAGACTTAGTTCATCTCTGGGCAAACATGGCTCTGGCTGCAGCCCTGAAGTGGAGCAGAGATTGAGATTGCTGGTAAATGGGGCTTTGCGGGGTTTTGTTCTAGGCAACCCGCCTGTGCTTATCCGCTGCTGGGCAGACACTTCCAGGTAGAGTGAAATAATCGAGCCAAACATGATCCTCAGCTCATATGGGTGTGTGTCTTAGTATTTAAGGCAAATCTGGGCAGAGAGGCTCCAGGGAGCCAAGGGGCCTATGAGTGCCCAGCCGTGGAGGTAGCCATGGGACAACTCACCAGCACTATTTCCTCAGGGTCTACCTGGGTTTCCCTCCCCCTGCTAATTCTGCCCTTTTTTTGGGGGGGGGGCAGGGGGGCAGACAGCCGGTATGGAGATCTGAACCCTTCACCTTGGTGTTTTAACACTGTGCTGTAACCAACTGAGCTAATCAGCTGCCCTGATTCTGCCCTTTTTGAGTGCATCTTTTAGGACCTTCTGTCTTGTATGGAGGGCCCATTAACACTGTCTTTCATGCATTGATTCAGAAGGTTTCTGCTGAAAGGAGCTTCAGAGATCACTGGTTCTACCTCTGCATTTTTCAGATGAAGAGAGAGACTGAGGAAGAGAATGACCTTGAACCAAGGCCACATGCTAGATTAGGAGCAAAACCATGGACAGGGCCCAGGGCTCCTGATTCACAAGCCACGCTTCTGTCCTCTGCCCCACGCTGCCTTGGAGGGCACTATTTATTATTCATCCAGCGGATGTTCAGGACCACCTGATAGTACTGGTGGTTGGTGACTAGACCTGGTCACACATTCAGGGAGCTTGCTGGTGGGGGGAGAGGCAAGGAACCTGATGTATAAATTGTCAGTGATTACTAAAAAGGTGCATCACAGAGAAGCATCTTTCTCAAATAATTTCAGGTGTGACTCCTGCCGTCGTCTCTAACTCATCTACAGATTCCCTGAAGGCAGCAGCTGTGACTTCCACAATGTTTTTGCCTAGTGCTTGATGTAATGGGTTCTCAGTGTTTGTTGCTGATGGAGTACGTTTTGCTGGCCTAGCCTGCCACAGTGTAGGTGTTGGTGTGTACATCAGGGATATTATCATGAGCACTCACTTCTAGCAACTTCTGAGAGACAGAGAAAGAAACCAACCAACCAGCTGGTCTCATGGGGTGATCTGCATCCCCTTTATGCTCATCTCTTCCTGGGCATTGTTTTGTAGGGTGGTGCTCAGCCTGATCTATAGGGACAAGGACAGAGAGGCAAATCCCTCAGCTCCCTGGTGCTCCCAAACCCCCTTGATGGCCTAGGGTTCCACTTCACAAGCATCTCTGGAACTCGTCCTCTTCTGCCACTTCCTTGGGTCCGTCAGCCCAGCCCCCCACAGTAGCTCTTCTCACCCCCCAGTCTCTACAACAGCAGGCCCCCTCCACAATGTCATCAGCATCAGTACCATCTTTCTAAAATCAAAACTCCTTACCCTTACTCAGCCCTTGACATTCTGGTCTCAGCCTGATTTTGCAGGCTTACCTCCTGCCCTCCCCTACCCCACATCACACTTCAGCCTCACTGCTAAGCTGCTCCCTGTTCCCCAAACCTGCTACCCTTTCTCAGGCCTCCTTTCAATCACCTTCGCAAGATTGCTCCTTGTTTCAAAGTTATTCCTTTCTCTGGAAAATTTACTCATCTTTCAGGACTCAACCCAAATGTCATCTTTTCTGTGAACAGTCTCTGACATCCTGAGACAGTCACTCTGGGCCGCCACAGCACCTGGTACAGCCCACCTTCATAGCCCTTGCCACGTTATGTTGTAACTGGTCTGTGTGTGGGGGGGTGTATTAGTCCATTTTGTGTTGCTTACAACAAAAATACACGGAACTGGGTGATTATAAAGAAAAACGATATTTATTGCTTACAGTTTCTGAGGCTGGGAAGTCCAAAGTCCATCTGGTGGTGGCAGCAGTGACCCTGGGGTCTCACATTGCAGGATGGTGGAAGCAGAGAGAGCAGAGAGAGAGACAGACAGACTCTCCTCTTCTTTTAAAGCCCGCAGAACCACGCCCCTGACCACCATTTTTAATCTATTTACTACCACATGGTCCTACAACCCAATCACTTCTTGAAGGCCCCACCTTACAATCACCATAATAGGATTTCCCACCCTCTTAACAGTCACAGTGAGGGCTAAGTTCCTAATACATAAAACTTGGGGGACACAACTCAAGCTTCAGTGAGTTTTGGGGGGACATAATTCAGTCCACTATAGGGGGTGTGTGTCTAACTTTCTTATCAAACTGTGTGTTCTCAGAAGCTGGGACTGCCAATTTGCTCAGCAACCCCAGCATCTGGCCTAAGGTTTAACACGTGATGCTCAATTTTGGTCAGATGTATGAATGACGGGGGTGCCGCTTGTTCTGCTTTTACATCCTAAATCCTTACAGAGCCTTATGGAGTCCAGGCCTGGCAGGCTCCCAGAACTCAAAGCCACCAGACCCCACGTGGACCCAGGGGCCTCATGTCCAGCCACTGCACCCTCAGTGGAGAGAAAGCTCCATGTTCTCGTGGGTGTCACTGGGAGTGTCGCGGCCCTGAAGTTGCCTCTTCTGGTGTCAAGGCTTTTGGACATTCCTGGGGTGAGTATCCTCACTAGACAGGTGTGGTAGTATAGGGGCGGAGGAACTTACCCTTCACCCTCCAGATGTTTGATAGTTTTGAGTCTATGAAATGAACTGACAGTAGACAGATTAATGGGAGAAAAGGCATACTCATTTATTATGTGCATATGCATGGGAATCTCACAAAATATAAGACTGGAAGAAGGGCCAGATGATTGAAGTTTTTATAGCATTGGAATGCTTGGGGGTGCTTGGGGCATCTGGTGGGTGGTGGCCACAAGCTACCTTGGAGGGAGGGAACCTGGAGAGAAGTATGCACTGACAGTAAAAGGTTGTCTTCTTATGCAGATAAAAGCCTTTCCGGTAATGAATTTGTCTTGAAGCAGTCCTCCTTCTGATACAGATACTTTACTAATGTAGCTTTCCTATATAGTTGTAAATTTCTTTTAAAAAAGGACAGCTTTTCAGAACTACTCCTGTGTCTGTGGTTTCTCTGACTTTTTTGAGTTATGCCAAAGGAGTATATTTTTGGTGGCATATTTTAGTCTCCCACAGCAGCCTCTAGTATTAGGGAGCTGCTGCTCCCTGGGGCCAGCCCATCTCTCTGCAGCACATGGTATTTTCTTTTTTTGATACGATTTTTTTTTGGGTGGCTGGCTGGCACAGGCATCGGAACCCTTGACCTTGGTGTTATAACACTGTGCTCTAACCAACTGAACTAACCTGTCAGTCTTGGGATTTTTTTTTGGGTGGCTGGCTGGCACAGGCATCGGAACCCTTGACCTTGGTGTTATAACACCGTGCTCTAACCAACTGAACTAACCTGTCAGTCTTGGGGTTTTCTTTTTTTTTTTTTTAAAAGATGACTGGTAAGGGGATCTTAACCCTTGACTTGGTGTTGTCAGCACCACGCTCACCCAGTGAGCAAACCGGCCATCCCTATATGGATCCGAACCCGTGGCCTTGGTGTTATCAGCACCGCACTCTCCCGAGTGAGCCACAGGCCGGCCCGAGGGGTTTTCTTTTTTTAATTGTGGTATTTGTGGAGGTCTTCTGTGTGTGTGTTGGTATGTGGGGGATACAGGAGACCTCCCAATGCACAGTATAACCAGAAGCTAGATTAGATAGTGTGGACAGAGCGTGAGGGAGCCTGGGAAAGGACACGTTTGGTGGGAATGGAGGTTTGGGTTCCTATGCATTGACCCTGAGATTCAGGAGGTCCTGCATGGGAGGAGGGCTGGCTGGAGAAATGCAGCAAGTCCTCAGTGTCCTTTGCTGCCTTGGGCACCCCCACCCCACCTTCACTCCATCTTGAACACTGTGGCTCTGTTCTCCCTCCTTGTTACATACCATGCGTGTCTTGTCGGTCAAGTGCACCAAACCTCAGGGGCTCCCCATTGCCCACAGGTCTGGTTTCCAACTTTGCTCCTTCAGGTGTTCAGAGATGCCCCAGGGGCCACCACCACGTGTGTTGGGGTGGAGGACCTTAGTTCCTGTCCTTGGCCAGACCACCTCAACATTGATTGACTTTATATATTGGGGTTCTGGTGCAGAAGGTCAAGGCTTTACGCAATGTCAAATCCTACAGGCAACAGCCCCACTTCCTAGTCTGGCCTCCAAGGTCCTTTGCTGGTGTATTTCATCTCCTGCTGCCCCCCCTGCCCCCCATGACTTTTGCTTTGGTTAGGCCCCTGCCAGGCTGCACTGCCCTCTCTGTTCCTCTCTGCCTTTTCAAATTCTGTGCAAACCCTCACTCAGAAGCCTTCCTGGCCTCCCGTAGCCCATGTGCTTTTGCTTCTCTTCTTTTAAATTCATTTGACATAGAGCCCCAGGCTGCCTTAGACAGTGCTTGCATTATCAGACACTCGTTCTCGTTGGGCATTGTTAAGTTGCTGGGGCTCAGGCTGTGCTGTTGGCTCCGCTTTTTCGAGCTTGTATCTGCTGCACCACACCTAATGCAGGATGGCCCAGGCGGCTGTATCTGGCATGTCCAGCTGGGGGCGGTGCTCACTCACAGATGACTGTGCGGGGACGTCTGGCAGGGGCTGGGAAATCTTGTTTCCCTTTTTTTACTTTCCACAAACTTCTACCCAGAAAATCACCCCCTCACCCCATCCCCCAGGCTGGAGTAAGCAGTGAAGCTGCCAGCCGGGGATGCCAGCCAGGCCAGAAGGGGGAGGGAGGAGAGTCTCATGAGCTGCCTGGGACCAGCCACCCACTCTTGTGCCCAGAGCCATTGGTAGGAGCTGGTCAGCTAGAGCCAGTGAGGTGGTGGCGGGAGGCCTGGAAGGGGTTGTGACAGTTACACCCTTGGGGAGGGAGGGAGCCAGGCAGTTCCCTTTTCCCATAGCCCCAGAGCAAGTGAGTTTCCGGACTGGGGGTGGGTGGGGGCGGGGAGTCCTATCCTAGGAAACAGATGGGCAGCCTCAGAGTGGAGGGGAATGGCAACTCCACCACTTCCTCCCGTCCCACGCAGCCGGCACTTATGCGGGTGTGAGGAAAGGGTGGCCTGCAGCAGGGAGGCTCTCCAGCCCACCCGGCCTTTCAGCCTGGGCCCTGAGGGAATAGGCCAAATCCAGAATAGGACTTGGCTCTTCCCCCTCTGGCTGGATTTGAAGCCAAAAATGAGACAGCCAGAGGGCACTGAACTAGGAGGGAGGACTCCCCTGACTTGGCCTCTTGGAGCCTGCCTTTCTCATTTTAAAGTAGGGATGATTACTTCTGCCTGTCCTCCAGGCTCTTGCTAGGCTCCAAGAGATGTTGGCTTGGGGAGGGGGACAAAGACAGTCATCGTGCCAACAACTAGGTGCAGAGCTTGGCATGCTGTAGCACGTAGCAGTGTGTGTTTCCTGTCCTCCTGTCCATCACCCGCTCCTTTCCCCTTGTTGCACGTCCTTTGGGCCAGCCACATGGTATGTGTCAGTTTAATTCATAACCCAGAGCATCTTCACGTGGGAAGAGTCATGGATGCCACAGGCCACCTGCTCATGTGGAGGGGCCCTCACCCTTCATCCTATAGATAGTTCACCAATCCTGGCTTTGCTTAGTTGGTCCTTGTGAGATGTTGGTAACAAAGGGTGACTCCTTGATTGCCTGGTGTTGGCCCCAGGTGTGGCCTTTCCCCCTGAGCACTCTCCCACTCTTCCTGATGATACTGACCTTCTCATGCATCTGTCCTGAGTCACCCCCAGGAGCAGTCTTTGTCCCTTGAAGCAGTCCCTTTCAGCTCTTTGCCTGCTGAGTTGTGGGTTCCCATGCTCAAGGCTTTCCCCACCTCCCTTAGGCACACCCAGATTTTGACTAGCAAATGAGCAGCTGGGGTGTGGGCTGCAGGGAGCTGGGCAATTTACAGACCTGGCTCATAACCACTGATTCCCCATGTGCCCAAGTGTCCCTGGAAAACCACTGACCAGGAGGTAGCTGTGTTGTTACCCCACACCCAGACCAGGGAGTTGGAGAAGGGTGGATTTAGCCTGAAGCCACGCCAGCAGTCAAGAGAGTAGCCACCAGCAATGATGTCCTGCAACCTTTATGTGAGGTGGGGAAAGTTAGACAGTGGGGGCCAAGGTGGATTTAGCCTGAAGCCACGCCAGCAGTCAAGAGAGTAGCCACCAGCAATGATGTCCTGGAACCTTTATGTGAGGTGGGGAAAGTTAGACAGTGGGGGCCAGCTCTACATCAAGAGAGGCTGCTGAGCATAGAGGATTTCTGATGCTAGGACCCTGGGCAAGTCAGTTCTTTTTGGCCTCACTGTTCTTATCTCTGCAGTGAAGGGTGGGCAGGTACTCAAATGATCAGTCTCTAGGGCTTCTTCTGGCACTGGGATTAGAAGATTCTAGATGTGAGGGCAAAAAGATCAGGACCCAAAGGCAGCCTGAGAAAAGGTCCCGGGGCCCAGGAGCTTCAAGGGGTTTTGCAGTTCTATAATTGTCAGGTAATTAGGCAGCAGTTAAGTCTGGGTTGTGAGCTCAGTTTCTGCTCTTTGGTTGGCAGCCTTGCCTGTGAGGGGAGCAAAATGTGGCTTCCTTGCACATATCTAGGTTCCTAGGCTGGGCTATGAATTAAATTGACATATAAACAGATCAACAGGAGAAAAACCATATTTAATTATGTATGTAAGCACAGGAGTCCCATAAAATATGGACTCCAAAAAGGGTCAGATGATTGAAGCTTATGTAGCATCCTGATCTCCAGAAAACAATAGGGGCTTGGGGCTTCTGGGGGTGGTGACCACACAAGTTATGGGAGGGTAAGGAGAGGGAATGTGGGTGAATAAAGGTTGTCTGTTATACAGATAAGAAGTCTCTTAGGTAAGAAAAGCTGTCTCCCCATGGTGTCAAGGAGTTCATCTTCCCTGGTTGGTAAGGTTCCTGGGAGGGGGTTCATGGCACTGAGGCAGATAAGGGGGTTCAGAGGAAGCCCCTGGCTGCATTTGCTGCTCCCAAGTGCCCTGGATTTGAAGTAATCAGCATAGCACACCTCAAAATAGGCTATTTCCTGAGCTCCCTCACCTGCACCCTTCAAACTTGGGAGGAAGAGTCAGACACTGCTCTAGCTTTTGCCAGGGTAGGTGTGAGCAGGACTGAGAGCCAGAAGCAGATTTCTAAAGGTAGAGAAAACCTGCCACTCAGGGGGTTGGCAGGCCCTGGGCTTAGAGAAGGATAAGATAGAGTGTCCGTCAGGATATCCAGAACTACCAAGGATGAGGGAAAGAGGGCCCCATCCCTATGCTGTATGAAGTAAATTCTGCTTTTCTGGAGGACCACTTTGCAATATCTAGAGAAATTAAAAATGTTCATAGCCCTTGATTCACCCATAGGATTAAACCCTGTGGGATGTGTTTGTAAAAGTACCATAATATAAGGATGTTCATTCTAGCATTATTTATCCTTTCAAAATAAAGCTGGAAACAAACAAAACGTCCAACAGCGGAGAGCTCTGGTACACTTAGGGCACAGCCTCTCAGTGGATCAGTAGGCAGTGGTTCTTAAGAATGGGGTGGACCTCTGTGCTGTGAT